TATGGACTGAATAATACAATTCTCGTCTTTGCCATTTTTTTGTCGTTTAAATAACAAACCCAAAAATGGATTTATCTAACCTACATTCCATAGATATATATCAAGTATATATATCATATCTAAACATCGAAATGGATTTCATTTTGATATTTAGATAGCTAAACTATCAATTCGTGTATCTATCTTTCCTATTTAACAGCTGCGCTCTTGCCGATCAGCTCTTACTACTCACTACGATTTTCAGCAAATATCTTTACCTTTTGATATCACACGACACCAACTTTTTTCTTGATCTGCCCGATGTAACGATTTTATTAAGTGATAATGGAATGGTAACCCCGCTTTCACTATTAGTACAGGTTGAAGGAGCACCAGTAAGAGATGATAGGTGAGAATGAAGGCAGGTCCGTTGGCCCATTGTGAAGAATTCAATAGGAATGAACCACGATGGTTTCCAAGGAGAACCGCGTGGAGGTCAAGGTGATAGGGTATATTGCTAACAATGGGACTATTAAATCCTATTAATAACAATCTCTTTCCCCCTAATGTCATTGTTCACTGGTACTCACTGTTGTAAATGCTTAAAATATATATTTTATTTATTCATGTTATGTCATTAGTGTATAGGGTACATATGCTCTCATATGTTTGATCTATTTTCGCAATCACTTTACTGAGCGCCGTATCTGGAATAATCTTACAATGTTATGTATTCAATACAAAAGGCGCGACTCAGGGTTTTCCCGCTACCAATCTAATCATTGCCCACATTGCACAGCTCGTAAAACTGATAACCTTTCATCCCAACAAAAGGTTCACAAATAACACTCCTTGTGGACAAGCGCAGTGTAGATACCCCCAAAGAGATGGCGACGCGATGACCTAAAAAGAATGAGGGATATAAGTACGTTAAGACCATTATTTTATAGTTCATAAAGGATATTTATTTTGAACCTGTGGATGAAATGATGATGATGACCAGATCAACGACTATTATTTTTTATTTATCGCTTGTCTATGGTTACGGTTAGATTAACCACAAAAATGTCAATTACATTTTTCTAGTTTCATGATTTTATCCGACTTCGAGCTACGATGCGATAATATCTCAATTTCATTTAAAAGCTAGAGAGTCCGTCTGTCACGGACAAGGGATGTACGGATGGCGTTCGGAAATGTTTTTTTTTTTTTTTTTTTTTTAATATTTTAAGGGCTTTTACCTTCTTCAGGTATATCAGTCCTATTGTACCCTGAACTGATTTCTCCAACTAAACTTTATCTACCTTCCCTAGACGCGGAAAGAGAAGAATTAATGGGCATCAATAATTTACAGAGATGTTCAAAAATTTCTGGTTTAAGTTCAGCTAACATAGTTTGAATAAGACCAACATTCAATTTATTTAAGTTAAAGTGGCGCATGAATTCTTCTCTTTCCTTCGTGTTAATACGACACTCTAATAGAATATGATGCACATCATCGATGGTACTACAAGTTTGACAATGGGGTGACAAGGACTTTCCCATCATATGTGCAAATTTTTTTGATGGATAATGACCAGAACGTAAACGAACAGCTAATTTAATACAGTACCTATTGATTTTAATTCCACAAAACCAAGGAATATGTGGTGGTTCAGCCTGAATAGTTTTGTACCAAATGCCTTTTTCTTTTGAAATTTCGTTAAAATATTCTTTCCAATCTTTTTGACATTGATTTTTGAATTTAGATATATAATCAGTAAAATGTGGTAATGACTGATGTTCCCTACCTTTCTCTATGCCCAGTTTAGCTAAACGATCTGCTTCTTCATTGCCCCGTAAACCAACGTGTGCTGGAATCCATTGCAGTATTAGATCAATTTTGCTTAGGTTTAATTTATGAATGAGTTCTAAAATTTTGTAAGCAATAGGAATTCCTCTTTTTCCAGATGCACAATAAATTAAGTGTTGTAATCCGCTCTTACAATCTGATAAAATTACACATTTCTTAACATTTATGACAGATGAGATATATATCAATGCTTCTAAAATTGCAATTAATTCCGCTGACATAATAGACATATTACAATTGATTTTAAAGCAACCGAAATGATTTTTACTTAAATCACAAAACGCTGCGCCTAACCCACCCGTAGACTTTGCTCCATCAGTGAATATTTTATGCCAATCATTGTATTTCACATTAATTTCTTTGACGACTTCATGTTTTAGCAAATTTGTATCATAAGAAGATTTAGCATTTGTGATGTATTCTACTTCTGTTCTAATTATATTATTAATCTGAATACCCGTAACCCAAATATCTAATGAAAACATTTGAAGAGGATGACAAGAATGAACATGAATTGGTTTGATTGTGTTGAAAGTTGATATTAATAAAGGTTCTTTTTTATGTGCCCAATTCCTTGTTTGGCAGAGTAAATTCAATTCACCTAACAATTTTGTAGACATGTTGTTTGATACAGAAAGAGCTTTGAGACAATATTTAAAAGCAAGATAGCGTCTCCTTATTTTAAGTGGAGGAATACTTATTTCACTCTCCATAGTATGAATAGGCGTAGATTTAATGAACCCACCAATATACCTTAACACTTGATTTTGAATTTTGTCCAATTTCGCAATATTACTTTTAGCACTACTGTCATACAAAAAACAGCCATAGTCTATCCTACTTCTTATTAATGAAATATACAATCTTCGCAAATGAACTGGATGAACACCCCAAGTAGGCCCTGTTAAAACTCTCAATATACTTAAAAATTTTGTACATTTTTCTTGAACCTCACTTATGTGCTTGTTCCACAGCAACCTTTTATCTAACCATAGACCGAGATACTTAACACTATCTACAATATCGAGAGGAATATTATTAATAGTTATTTTAGTTTGATACTTTCTGCGTCCTCGACTAAAGACACAAATCTTAGATTTCACTTCAGATATATTTAAACCTAATTCTTCCAAAGCCATTATCATACAATTTAATGCATTTTGTATATTGTTTTCGCAATTTATAATCTTTTCATGACTAAAGTATAGCACAAAATCATCAGCATATTGTGAGATGACAACATGTTCAATGTGATGACAAATTTTATGCGTAACTAAGTTAAAAAGAAGCGGAGAAATCGGGTCTCCTTGAGCCAATCCCCTGTTTGTACATCTAGTAAGACTTGCTACTCCATGTTGGTTTTTAATTTTAAGATATCTTTCGCTTAAAAAGGACCAAAGGTATTGGCACATCTTTGTACCTACCTGTATTTCATCAAGAATTTTGACTGCTTTAGTCACAAGGACATTGTTGTATGCATTTTCAATATCTAAAAAACATGCTACAGTGGGATTGTTCTTTGACATACCTATTTGTATATATGATACCAAGCGAACAAGGCTATCTAAACAAGATTGTCCTTTTCTGAATCCTGTTGCATATGAAGGTAATATATTGTGTTTCTCGATATACCACTCTAGACGTTTTAATATCATAGAGTGAAATATTTTACATACGCATGACATAAGAGATAACGGCCTGAGTTTGACATCACTTTCAGAAGTGCTGCGAGCTTTAGGTATAGGTACTATTTCGATGTTACGCCAAGGGCTTGGTACTTGACCAGAATGATATATGGAATTATATAGGTCTAATAGAACCCGCTTTGCTATAAAAGGTAAGTTAAAAATCATAGAATATGTAACACAATCCTCACCGGGTGCTGTATCTTTTTTCTTTAAACAGTTATTCAGTTCCACCATCGTAAAGTCCGATTCTAAAAGTTTATTTTCAGAAGTAAGCATTGGTTTCGGATCTGATACAGTGTCTGGTGCTAAATTATGTAATAGTTCCTCTTTTTTTTTTTATCCGAACCAAAAACCTTGACATGCTTATGACCTTTAATCCACTGCATACGATGCCACATACTAGAAGATGATGTTGATTCATTAATACTGTCACAAAATCGTTGCCAATGGAGTGATTTTGCTCGTTTAATTAAGGTTTGTGCTTCAGCGACTTTTTGTTCTAATTTACATAAATTTTCTGGTGTAGGATTACGCCTAAACGTACTTAATGCTAGTCTGCGTTGCGCAACTATTTGAGATAAAGTGAGATTCCAGTAAGCTTTAGATTTAAATTTGTTATTTGGATTTATACATATTTTATAAAAAGGAATGCTGTGGTCTGCCGCTTTAGTAATTTGGTCAATAAAATAGTTATATGTCTCTTCAATACTTCTTAATTGAGATGAGGCATCCGAAAATGAGGCTAAAAGATATTTTCGATATTTATCCCAATCTGCCAACTTGAAATTTCTTTTCTTAAAAATATTAATTTGATCGTGATATTTTAATGATACTTTAATTATAAGATGGTCACTGCCTAAACTTTCATTTGAGACTTGCCAATCAAATAAAGTTGCTATGTCTGAAGAAACAAAAGTAACGTCAGGGGAAGATTGCTGTATAATGCCATTAACTAGCTTTAATCTTGTAGGGTCTCTATTATTTAAGGAAATAAATGCATATTCTAAGGAAGAATCTAAGATTTGTGTCCCTCGGCTGTCAATTTTATTTGACCAATTCGTATGATGACCGTTAAAATCACCTGCAACTAATGTCTTTTTGCAAAATCGGGAGAATATTTGATCCCAATCAGATAAGGAAGTGTGGACAGACGAAGGGCAGTATATTGATATTATATTTTCAAGGTCTTTGCAGTTATATAACCTAACATGTAAAATCTCGATTCCTAAATTATTAATAGATACAGGGCATACTTGAGATTGAATTGACTTATGTGTAATGATAGAAACTCCGCCATATGAATCCATCCTATCCTTCCTATAAATGTTGTATTCACTAATATTAAGTAATTGTTCTGAATCTAACCACGTTTCATTAATTATAGCTACGTGAATTTCTTCTTGCTTCAATAATGCATCAAAACTCGCTAATTTAGGTCTAAGACTTTGTGAATTCCACTGGATTATCTTGATTCTATAAAGCTTGGAATACTTATCCATAAAAGATACTAAATATGCTACTCCATACATCACCTTCTTTAATATATTCTCTCATGAGAAGATAACATTCCTCTGCAATTATCTTCAACACTGACATTATCTTCTCCTCAAATGATTTCTCTGATGTAATATTTTCTTTGATTTTTATAAGAATCTTCCCTATTTGGAATCTCGTACGTGTCTCTTGTTTAGCTTGCGGTGCCTTGGCTGAATCTATATTTGTCGAAAGAATATTACTATCTTCTTTACATATATCGTCTTTACTTAATTTTTTTGTAGACTGTATGTCACGGTCAGTTATAGCCTCTTTTTCAATATTCAGATCTGGTATTAACTCATCTTTATGAGCTACTGCCTTAGACTTTACTACGCTACTGAAACTTCTTTCAGTAACCTCTTGAGATCTTAAATTAATAGAAGGTCCTGTAATGTTTAAGGTATTCGATGAAGATAGATTTATAGTTTTGACAGCATCCTTTTCGTCTATAATTTGTAAGGCTTTTCGGTAAGAAACATTTTCTCTGCTCATAATTAGACGTATATTTTTTTCTTTTATAAAAATAGGGCATTGTTTGTCTAGTGACATATGAATCCCCTTACAATTCAGACAAGTGAATATTTTCGTATCACAATTATTATGACTTCCTCCACATTTTGGACAAAGAACTTTTTTACTTGCACAGAATTTCGCAGAATGACCAAATTTCCAACAGATTGAACATTGAGTTACAGGAAATACATATTTTTCAACTCTAAATCTACAACCATAAGCATACACGAAATCGGGTAAGATTGAACTTTCAAAACATATGCGAACAGTTTCACTTTCAACCCATTTTCCTTCAGAATTCAATCGATTCAATCTTTTCATTGACAAGATCTTATGAGGACAATTAATAATATCCAAAAGTTCATCAACATTCATATCTATATCTATTCCTTTTATTATACCATACGTTATATTGTTTTCGTAAGTCATCTGACATTTGTATCCCAAGTCTTTGAATTTCTGACAATTAATTAATTTTTCTGCATTTTCCTTTTTTTCGAATCGAATCAAAATCTTATATGGGTTTTTATATTTTATTCTAACAATATTAGATATGGTTAGTGATCTAAGTAATTTTGCTAATGCTATTTGCTTTGGAAGTGCTTCTAGAGAAGAAACAGATACCTCAAAAATAGCTTCTTGTGTCTCGTTGACAACTTTCTTTACGGGGGTTATAGTGTCGCCTTTACTAAATTTCTTAGATTTCCTCTTAATAATGCTTGTAAAACTATCTTCACTACTTCCGTCACTTTTAACAGGATTCTTTCTTTTAATGGTTCTTTCAACATCTTGGTCAACAGCTATACAATGATTCTTTCTCGTCAAAAAATTGGGAAACTCCATATCACTTTTATCACTTATATTTATATAATTATCATCTTCACTTTCATCCATATTTCGTAGATAAAAGGTCGAGATAATCTATAAAATTTAAAATAAATATCGAGAGAAAAATTATGCGACGTAGTCTGACAGAGTCACGCTGTCGGAAATGTTGAGGAAATGTCACGGACATAAATAACAGTAGCGTTTTAATATTTATAACTGTTATGGCAGAAATTACTTATTTTGAAATTGGAGCTGATAACAGGCAACGGCTAACGCTCCTGTTACAACCCTATTATTCCTGACAACTCAATATATTATCGTAGAAAAAAAGAAAACAAGTATTATTATATAATCAATGATATTAAAAACCGGCTTCCAGAAAGTTATTATTTCCACTATACAGTCATATTCGTCTTGTTCTGATTTTTTCAAGTATTACCCGCGACTTCATCCCTATGTCTGGATAGTCTATATGGGTAATTATTTTATTTATTTATTATTTTTTTTTACAAAATAGCTTGTCAGGCATTACAGCTATATATATTTATTTATATTTACCAACTAAAAAGGCTTGACGGTTTCCCAATTCGCTCTCTTAGGAATCACAATATATATAAATATAATATACACTATATACAAATAAATAATGTATTGCTATTCTGGGAAACTCGACAAGTTTACAAGTAAATATATCCAAGTCCGGATACTGGCTTATGACACCGTTGAGCAGAGTCAATGCTCGTGGAAGAGGAGCCTGTTCTGCTAGCTCTATTCTTCTCAACGGAACATGAAGTCCCATCAACCTGTTCGAGCATAATTAGAAGGCGCACGACTGGATATCGATGCCAGGATGTTATGATATTTATTCCCTTTAAACATTTTCAAAATATATTCAATTAAAGTTAATTTATTCGTTTCACTTTAAATGAGTTTTTACCATTATCAATAAGAACTTACTAGGGTATATAGTAGGATAGGTAACATAGTATGCATATTGTTTTTGATACAGCCATCTTATAAATTTTTTGAATGTTCTCCACCATGAATATATATTTTGACTCATGTAGAGTCCAGATAACTGCATTATTTTCTAACTTACTGCGAACGAAGGCGTTATATAACATTTTTGATGGTCTGTATACAATGTAATTGTAATATATCTAAACTCTTTTACTATATACATATATGTTGGAAAAGGTTCATTCCATACAGTATGCATACACAAAATTTCATAGAGATTAGTTAAGCCGTTAAGCCGCTATAAGGTAACAAACAAACAAATTCAGTTCCTCATATTAGTAAGGATTATAAATTCATTACGAGGAAGCTTCTATGTTCTAACTATATTTATTCACTAGTAAGTGAAATGTGTAATAGATACGAAGAAATCCTTAGACCTCAGAGGAATGACAACACATTATATATAATAGTATTATGTAGTATGATAACCTCCGTGGAACAGGGGTGGGCACATTGATATAGCGTAAATGAGGTCTTGCGTTCTATTTCCTGTCATGCCAATTTAATTTAAGAAACGAACTTTTCTGAGTTGGTTCTAATTTGGACGATAGACTCTATAGTCCCGGCATAGAATGGGCTACCTCTTTTTTTCCCGTGGCTTTAAGAGGCGACTAAGAGAACTTAATGAGCGAGGTATGGACAAAAGCGTCCCTCTTAAAACATCAAAAACCAAACTGCAGTTGGTAACCCACCTACCAAGCATGGCAAATACGGGCAAAATCCCTCCTGGTAAAATAAGTGATATGAGTATGCTCTCAGATGTTTTTTAATGTGACTGTATGGTATTCTTTTTATTATTATTCAATACAATGTATAGACCAGTGTTACACCATAATTTAAAAAATAAATAAGGTGTCGTTGATTCATATTTACAAGCGAGAGTTTCTGCTTTCCATCGAGCGAACCTTCAAGTTTTTTCCATTCCAAGTTGTATAAAAAATGACATACTTTCAAAGACGATTCAATTATGAAGTACCTGAAAATAAAATACCATTGCTTCCATATTCAGCTACTAAGAAAATTCCATTAGGGATACAATAGGAGTATTTAATCTTATGTTATATAAAAACCTTTTTACTTGAAGCTAATCCTGCATTTGGGAGTCTTAAAATAAAATCGCGTTAAAATTTTATAAATATGACGTATACCAATAGTTCTCAGAATATGATTAATTATGTTAGGGTAAAATCCGTAGTGTAACTATAGTTTGTTTCAATGAAACTTATTAATAAAAAGTTAGCATACCTGATAGGTATGTAGCGGAAATATTTATCACATGAATGTGATGAGAGAACCCATTTCTAATGGTACTTCTTATCTAATAATTTATAAATTTTGATTAAAATATTGAATAGTGATTGTAATGGACAGACACAATTAATTTTATTCATTTATTTATATATATATATTTTTTTGTCAAAAATTCTCGCGGCTGATTTTTAACTTTTAACAACAACAGAATATCAGTGTTTTGCTCTTTTGAAGGCAAAGCAATAAACTGAGTTGTGACCAATTTGTGTTACTGTAACACACTCATGAAAAATTATTACTTCCCTTTTCTTTTTCTTTTGTATATGTATTCTTTTATTTCTTTTTTTAAATATGTACCAATATGTGACGTTATTTGTGTGCTATAAGTGATGCAAATAAATTATACATCTATTTATCTAAGAAAAATATAAACAAACGAATACTTTCTTCGACAATAATGAGACGGTCTGTTCATAACTGTACGAGTCTAAAAGTTAATAGTACAAGTCAGCCAGTAACTTTAGAAGTATGCTAATGACAGAACAAATTAAAAGTCGACTACATGATTGAATGGTTCATTTTGTTACAGTTTTTTTTTTTTATTTACAGTATTTTTCTATGATAATTTTAACAAAACTTAGTTATCTTTTCATTAATTCTAATAAAACAAACTATAGCAACGTACTTGGGCCAAATAACTAAAATACAGATTCGAATTCCGTCGAATCAAGTTTTCGGGACGGGAGATTAAATATTTTAAACGAGTTTACTATATTAAAATTTTACACAAGACACGTACTTAAATTAGACTGGCATTTACATTTAATTAGACATAGAGAGCAGACTCGTAATTTACTCACCTGTCAAATAATTGGGTAATTGTTTTCGTGCAATAAATATCGTATCTAATTTAATAATCTACTATTTCTGTAGAAGTCTTATCATTCCCTTTCAGATAATTTAATAAGAAACACCCGTTTTCCAAAAGATCCCAAGAATTAATCGCGATCATCTATTATTTATAATTTATACAATTCTAAGGTCAATTTGCTTTATGAATAAACATCAAGTGACATGAACGGGAAACAAAATATCACAGTATTTGAAGATCGATTTGATTCGATATCTATACTAATATTATAAAGAGGAATATTTTGTAATGGATAAACCCAAAAACTAATCAATATATTTTAAAAATCCTTTCATCTATATAGAGAGCCACATCACAAGCCATTATCTACCCGCTCAAAGCTGAGACGGATCGCTATTATATAATATTAATATAGAATGGCATTCAAGCTGGCAGGCCATATGATGAAAAGTAGTAACCATCATATGGCAACCTTGACAACCCCAAGGACATTTTTTAATGGATAATAGCGGGTTGGTAACCCCACCTGCGTTAACGGTATACGCTGGCGGGGCTCCAGTGAAGGATGATAAGTAAGAATGAATAGGCAGGCCAGTTAGCCCATCGTAACGAATACACCTGGAATTCAGTTCGATAGATTCCAAGAGAGACCACGTGGAAGTTGAACTGGCAGGGTATATTGTTAACAATGGGACACGTAGACTATAATTTATGTGAAGACTATAATTGGATGATGTCGTTCCACAAAATGTATTATACTAAACTATTAAATTGATTTTAATAAAATTTTTAAGGTATCAATCTGTAAATAGATAGATAGATAAATAATTTATTTGCACTACTTACAGCACACAAACAGCAACAGACACAAATGCAAAGTGAAAAAAGATAAAAAAAAGATACATGTACAAAAAAATAAAAAAAAAAACAAAATCAGAATACATAAAATTAGTAACAATTTTTTTTCTTCATGCGTGTGCCACAGTAATACAAAATGGCCACAACTCAGCTTATTGCTTTACCCTAAAAAGAGCAAAACACTGATATTCTGTTGTGGCCAAAAGTGAGCCGCGAATTCAGTCAAAAGAAGAATGTTCCAAATCGGCTTATAACTGACGGAGTTATGAAAATAATATTAGACAATAAAACATTGTATTTCAATAAATTAGAATATCATCCTTATTAAATAATGAAAGTTACTTTATGTATTCTATGTGTGTCTTCTTTGTATTCTATTGTTCTATATCTATTGTTTACTAACGTGTTGCCCGCTACGAGTATTTCGTACGCAGGGATTTTAGAAGTAGCAAAACAAATGAAATAGATCACTTGTACAAGTAGATGGCGTATCAAGATAAAACATACACCAGTTTTTTTTTTTTAATGGCCAGTCCCTGGTATTAATTTCCAGCCTTTAACATTTATTATGTTTTTCCAACTTATGCACTATTATATTCTACATATAAACTACTTATTCTATTATAACAATTTCAATATGAACTATCTATTCTATTTCCAATCTAGTTTACTATCTAATATATTATCTTGGCTAGGATGCTTATTCTATATTTTATTTACATTTAATTGACTACTAGTTCCTATTCTATTTATTTAGTATTTCCTATTTCTACTTATTTTTAACCTATACTTTAATCGTATATTTTTTATACGACTTTAATATAGATTTATTTTCTAGCATTTTGTTTGTTCATTTTTTCAATTATAGTACACCAGTTTTTTTTGCATAGATGCTGATAGATATAGATAGATAGATGCTGTTCACACTATTTTATTGCTCAATGTTCAATTTACACCAGTTTTTAAATTGAACATTCAGCAATAAAATAGTGTAAACTGCATGCAATTGAGTGAAATAATTTTTACTTGATGCCGAAACAAAGGGGCAGATAAATTGTATAAAAAATATTGTTTTGATTTCTGTTGCTCTTATTAAGACTCTTATATCATTTTTGTTGGATATCTCCAATATACAGACATCATGTGGTTACAATTTATTTCTGTAAGATTTACAATTACTTATATACGTAGTATCCAGAAACTGCGTGCTGGACTTAATACACACATATAAATGCACTTAAATTAGCCTTTGTCAACTGGTTGGATACGCCATCACTGTCAACAGTGACAAAGGTGTCGCAGTCACTATGCCGCTCACTGGTAGATAGTCATGCTTTCATCGAGATGAAAGCGATTATCAAGTTAATCGCTAAGATAGGATTATTTCCTAAGAGTATTGTAGCAGTTAATAATATCTATATAATACTTGGTGGTGGTGGTAGTATGTGTGTGTGTGTGTGTATATACATATATATACACATATATAAGTATATATGTGTAGCCGTATGGTCCCAGCATAAAATAGGCCACTCCTTTCTTTCCCGTGGGTGTCGTAAAAGTCGACTAAAGAAGAACGAGGGATGCGCAGCAGCGTTCCTCTTAAAACATCTCTAAAACCTAACTGCGGTTGCCAATCTGCCTGTCAAGCGTAGCAACTACTGGCAAAACTCCCCAAGGGGGAGACTAAAGAGTGAAAAATAAACTTTATGCAACGTTACCAAAATAATATGTTATGGCCAACCGTAAGAGTAAGCCCAACGGTTAATATAAATGAGGTATTTATCTATCACTACCGAGTGATACATATCAATTCATAAAATAAAAATGTGATATACTATATATAATGAATTATAGTATAGTAAGCACATAAATTCGAATTCTTCCTTTTAACTTCTAAATATGGGATTTTTCGCAGTTAACTTGAAAGTCACAAGTTTCAATAAAGGCCCCGTATTCTGAGATTATTCAATAAACGATACAAGGAAAAACACTTACAAGACAATCTAATATTGATACACGAAATAAAATGTACCACAGCTTCAGACATGTACATAAAACTAACATAATGGCATTTTTACTATTTTAACACTCACACTACTTCGGAAGATTTGTTATACCTAAAACAATAATTAATAAAACCAGTTTGGTGCGAGTTGAACTCACACACTAAGAATTTTGTAAATAAATATATAAATAACAAACGATGTTGCTGACATACTGGCAGTTACAGATTGCACACCTTTTTATATTTCATTTTATTTTGTATTCTATATTTCACTCTTCAAATAAATGTCTCAGAAACAAATGAGATTTCTTTTATTGCATTTTTTATACGAAATAGATACCTGTTAGTTATTATTGTTAATATTACAATTCGTTATTTCTTATTTTAGGCTATAATAATTGTGATTAATAATTAGATCGCATAGTATAATTTAGTTTTGGAGGGTGTTTTTTTTTTTAGTTTCTCGAAAACTAGTACCTAGTTAGATACTTCTCAGATATTCTCCCTCATATTAATTTATACCTTTGTAAAAGTAATAATGTAATTAAAATTTTCTTTTAGAATGCATTTTTATAAGAAATAAAATTTTTGATCATAAAAAAACCTATACAGTATAATAAAAAAGTGAAATATAAATCAATTTTAAAATTTACAAATAAAACCCTTTCCTATATCCTACTTGGACTAGTAGATAAATTTTGAAATTTTTTGTATCTTTTTTGGATCCCCTAGAAAAGAAGATAAATTTATTTTTCAATTATTTTCATTGTAATACACATAGGCTAATAATATGTAAAAGTATTCCAATTGATAGCATTAGTAGTTATCGAAGTATTTGGCGTTCCATTGTTTCTGCCTACCTACCTAATGGGAGACAGGCGTGACAGATATGTATGTATGTATGTAGTAGTTACTGAGATATAGCGCTGTGGCAGATGATCCAAGCCACACCATAAGGGTTTCTTTGTACCTTTTTGGTACAGGACCTTAAAAATTGCATTAATTGTAAATATACAAAATTGTTTTTTTTTTAATACTAACGATATTTTAGTGATTTAAATGCAAACTTTCAAATGTCTAAATTTCAAATATTAATCCAAATTCTTAGAATATACAAAGAAAACTAAAAAGAAGGTAGGCAAAAGAAACCAACGTTATAAAAAATCCTTGACATGTTTGAAAGAAGAATATGTACAGTTCCATTATTTTTTAATGATTTTTATTTTATGTCAGAGTAACTAATTGTCGCTGCGGACAATCAAGAACAAAATAGAAATAGTCATGAATAAAATAGCTTTAGCTTTAGCGCATTCATTTCGAACACAGCCAGCATCAGTCTTCAAAGGATGTGACAGAAACGATATTGCTTTGTTTGCATCAAACTGCTAAAATAAAGCGCGCTATGAACTTACTGATGGAGAACAACGAACAAGCGTCGAAGCTCGCCTCAAATTGGTGCATCGGCACACAAATGAGAGAAAAGGGGTTCCGCGTTAGATTGACATTTCTAATGAAAAGTGGATATGTAAGTATGCAGCTAAACGAAATGCCATGGTTATATTCGATTTAATGAAACTCCTCCGACCTGACTACTTGGTTGGTAATAACTTTACAACCAAGTGGTAACTTTTTTTTCAGTATTTTTTTCTTTACTTTATTCACCTAATCACTTCATGCATGCTGTCTTATGTATATGTATTAAGTTCTCATGCTTAGTTCATATTATATATATATTACGATTTAATAATAACTATTCCCGAGACTTCATCCACGTGACCGGGCCATACCGATTTACCTAAATGAAAACGGATATAGTTCACTTATTTTTTAAATAAAACGTGACCTATATAATGCTTCAAAATAAATAATACTAAATGTAAGCAAAATTTTATAAAAACTGTTTGTGCCAAAAATACACCAAGGGATAACAAATAAACAAATGCAGTTTCACTTTTATAACATTAGTAGGGATTAGTGGGATATTGTATATCACGCTTACATGGTTTATTTTAGTTTGATTGATAATCTACAGTTTGATCTTGATTGATCGCCCCCACACTTATCTTCCCATTTGTTATCATTTCCATTTCTGTTTTTGAATTAAGTATATCCGCAATTATTTTTATTGCTTTTACCTTATTAATGTGGGTTGTTATTTTCCTTATGTCTATAAATGGGAAAGTTTGTAAAGTTATTTATGTATTTAAATATTTGTTAAATGAATTAAAATTAAATTTAACACGCATTAAGACTAGAATTAACGAAGAATACTTTTTATCTCAATTCACGTGAGCAAAGATATGGGATATAGTTAGGATAACAATAAAAATTACTCATTCTACGGATGTGTTTATTAACACGTTTAATTTAAGGTAGTTTAATTGCGTAAACAATTAAATTGTACACACACACACACACACACTTCATAGCTATATGTACTAATATCTGAAATATATAGTGCAAACTTGTAGCTATTATCAATTATTATTTATTGCACTAAAACATACAGTAACAACAATAAGTTAATAACAATGTTAGCAAAGGCGAACTTATCTCTAAAAGAAATTTCTCTCAGTCAACCTAACGCAGTGGCATATAACTTTCTAGGTATTATTATATGTTAGTTTCTAAAAATATGTTTCACGAAAAAATATCTAAAGACTCATAACTAAAATTGTAATTATTATGAATAAGAAAATATATGAACTTTGTTTGTTAATTTTAATAAACTTGATTTATGAGTATATTATTTTTAATAAAATTTATCAAATACAACATCAATACTATAACTAATCTATTACTATGTTAAATAATGTTATAATTTATAATAGTAATTTCACATTTAAATTTTTTAAAATATAAATTCATATATAAGTAATATATAGGTATGCTTGGGTAATCGATATACATAAATTGACATCGTTGTTTTCAAAACAATTAATTTATATATAGAGCTTACCTCGAATACAAAATACAGCAACTAAACAAATTAATTGTCGGGCGAGCAGCGAACGTAACATGTTGGACATTTGTTTAACAAATCTTCACTTTATAATTAACTCTTGTGTCTTCACTTTACCCTACAAGTATTGTTCTCATTGTCAAAAAGATAATCTCTCGAGGCTGTCTATCAATTTTAACTTTAGACGCTACTTTATGGGTACTTTTCGGTTTCGTTCAGAGTTTCGTGTTCATTTTAGTTTACTTTTATAACATCGAATAAATAACATCCGGATATTGGTGTTAAAAAAGCTGATTTATGCAATAAATATGTTTATAACGTTCGTAAAATGTGATTAACGAGCGAAAGTTGTATATGACGCGACCGTTACAGTGGTTACCGGCGGCGGTAGCTGTCGCGTCGATCGTAGCACTGAGTCCGAGCTACGCTTAACCACGCTACGGCCCTACAGGCCTACGGCGCTACGACGGCGGGGAGGCCGAAGCGAGTTCTGCTCAGATTTTTATTGAACTCTGGGTAAATCCGGTGAAAGGAGTTATACTTGGATGTTTATTTACTTCGTTTTATTAACTAACCGTTTATTGAAAATTCTTTAAAATAACAAGTTGTGTTATACATGAATAATTAAATAGTTAAATATTATTTTGTACTGAAAGTCCTGTATTACTTATATTATTTATACATGTACACAGATTTTTAGATATTTACTTAATTACGCTTAAACGATTGAACAGGTTTGCATAACATTTTGTACTCGGATAGGTTCCTAACTCGACAAAAAGATACATTATACCTTGATTCACGTGAGCAAAGTCATTTAAAACAACACGAAAGCAAATTTTAATAAAGCATGGAACGGTTCATCTCTTAATTCTATTTGACAAATTCTAAGAAATCAGATATTTCAATTTATCTTCATAATATTATTTTATTTTATTTATTTAAATAACTTTTTTGACCAAAATTAAATAAGGTACAAAAGCTTATTGCTAATATTACTCGTGTCATTATTTGAATGACATATCTATTAATATGAATAAATGCAAATAATTCAATTAATATTATAATTAATATTGCAAAACTTTTGCATACTTTAATTAATAAACATATTTATCTAAATTTATCCTGCTCTTTAGCTTCTGCTATTTTATATTAGCAATATACATTTATAAACAAGTGATCAAGTGAACAAGATCTTAAGTCTATTTATTTTTATACTGTATATTTTTAGACTTCTATAATTTTTTTATAGCAACTTGACAAGGCAAGTAGGATAATGACAAATCTTATATAAAGTGGTAATCATTAGGTACTTATTGATACACATATTGCTATAAATATCACATAATATACTGTGACTTGGTGGTTTCGGCATAGAATAGGTCACCCCTCCCTTTCTCGCGAATATCGTAAGAGACAACTAAAGGAATACCGACAGAGCACTAGTAAGAGATGATTAGTGAAGATAAAAAGACAGGTCACCAGGTCACGTGGTTACCAGGGGGAACCACGTGAAGATCGGCCCAGTTGGGTATATTGTCAGCAATGGGACCCTTAAGCATCATTACTGGCAATCCCTTCCCCCCGCGGTGACAATATTGCTCATTCCAACAGACTGCTTACTTGATGAAAAGTAGTAACTGTCGCTATAAACACGGAGCAATGCTGCGAATGTCACAAAATAAACCCTTATGAATTTCGCCTTAGAATTATGGTACATGGAATGTTTTTGTTGGACACATGAATAATGTATAAATACAGTCTTGTCAGATCTAACCCTTAGTAGGTACTAGTTGAAATCGGATTATATACAATGATACTGATAGAAACCAACGTGGATGTCGTCTTGATAAATATTGACATGTGAACGATATAACCAGGTATTAATATAAACTATCGATAAGTTATCATTTTGCCCGCCTGAAACACGTCTCTATTTGTGTTTCTCATATTTTGCTGTAGCCCATATTACTGATTAGTTAATTAGAATGGTAAGAGAATAAAATAAAATTATTTTAATTAACTAAGATACTTTTAACTATCTCTTTTTGTATTAGTGTTTATTTTGCTAATTCACTATTAATAAGTAGCAGTTGTAGATGATTTTTATGCAATTTAGAATGGCAAACAAGTTAACAGCCCACCTGATGGAAAGTGTTAACCGTCGCCTACAGACATGAGCAGCCATGGACATAAAAGGGAACTTAGATGATTTACAAAGTCAACAATACATTTTAAGTTAATTGTTTAATATTCCACAAAGCAATTTACCTTCAAAATATCTATTTCCACAATTTGATAACATATTTTTTTAATATCCTGTGTGGTGCCAGCATAGAATAGGCCACCCATTCCTTTCCTGTGGGTGTAGTAAGAGGCGACTAAGGGAAGGCGAGGGATGGGCAGCAGCGTCCCTCTTAAAACATCTCCAAAACATAACTACGGTTAGCAATCCGCCTGCCGAACGTGGTAGCTACTGGCAAAAACCTCCTAGGAAGAGACTTGTGTCCAGGAATGGACAGTTAAAAGCTGATATGTTGATGATATGACAATTGTTTTTAATAAAAATATACTTAATTTTATCTGGAACATGCGCTCGCTACTGAGTTTTATTCTATAAACATCCAGAAATATCCACCTATATTAATGTTTATAATATAAACATTACATTCCTATTTTCGACAGCTGTGTAATTAAACTCCAGAATAAACAACTACTAAATAAATGTCGTAGCTTTAATTATGAAAAACTTTGATTTTTATTTCTCACTTGTATGGTAAACTGAGCTCAAAACGTACTTATTAGTTTTCCATTCTCATTAATTTTGTAACATTATTGCATGTAAAGTATTTGCCAAACAACAAATTAAATTTGACGATTATGTTAATCAAGTCTAAAATTAACTACGGTTCAATAATTCTACTGAACTGAAATATCCAATTTAATGTTATTTTAGGATCCGAAGAAGATATCCCTTATGTATTTCAAAAGTAATCCAATTCCCACCATGTAATTGAAATCTTAAATAAATTGTATTCGCACAATGCAAAATATGGAAATGAAATATGTTAGTAAAAAATGTAAAATTGTTTTTTTTTCTATTATTATTATTCACTAGTTATTAAACACAAGTTCGTTCGCGTAACCAGAATATGTTTACGGACCGGGATAAAAAGTAACCTATATCCTTCTCCATCCCATATAGGACGCGTTTAAAGTTCATAGTAAAACCGTTAAAGTGTTAGTAAATAACCAACAAACAAATTCATTGTCTTAGTACGTTAAACAAAGCTATGCTCATTTTCGTATTAATTATAATATTTACAAGGATTATCGGATATATAAATTTCAAAAATTATAACCATTAAGTTAGGTACAATCTAAAAATGGGTTATCCGTCAACCATCTGAATAGATGTTAGAGATACAGATGCGTATTTATATAAATGTTACAATTACAATAATAAAGATAATAAAATTTGCGTATAATTTATAATAATTTATATTTAAACAAAATTACGTTGATACTTTTTTTACTCGATATATATTAGGGTCCTCCAATAAATCGTACTCGTATGTCATTCCGTGTTTTATGCGTCAAGTTGAAGGACTGATTACAACCCTCTCCAGCCTTCTTTTGTCCGGTGCTCTGTAATGTCAATCGCCCCTCATAAAGTATTCAAGTACGAATGACGCGATTTATAGGCTATTGACTAGCCTCTTGGCTGATACAAAAATGAGGTCGACTAATCATAGAAAATGTAGTTTAATCCATTAATTAATTACTGTTATATTTCTATTAGTTTTCCATGCAAAAAGTGTCAGTAGATAATTCGATGTTCATTTGTCATATATATGTAATGTTTATTTATCATAAATTGTTATCTCTTAAAATATTTATTAATTTACTATTTTTTTTAATCTGTGCGTGGCGGTTGACTGGTAGAATATGCCATCAGGCATTAAGTCCGCCCTGTAGACATTTTTCAATGTGTGCAAAAATATAAATAAATAAATTCGACAATGCAATTCTTATGTTGTTAATATACAAGTAGTTACTATTACTATTCATCATGTCATTATATTAGCTGTTAATTATCCACCGCTAAATATAGACTTTCCCCATAAGAGGGGGTTTTGTTAATAGTTCAAGGTCGTGAAGAACCAACTAAGGGAACTTAATAGTCGAGGTATAGGCAGCAGCGTCCAAATCTAAACGGCGTTTGTCAACCCGCATTTCAACCGTGGCGACTACTGGCAAGGCCTATATTCGGCAGTGGACAATTGACGGCTGATATGGTGATAAGTAATAATCATCATCATCTTTTATCATCATATCGTCATAGTTGTAGAATACTGACGGATCTGACAAAGATTACATATAAAGATCCGTCAGTATTCTACGACTATGACGATATCAGCCTTTAACTGTCCACTGCTAAACATAAGCCTCCCCTTTGGGGGTTTTTTCAATAGTTGCCACGCTTAGCAGACAGGTTGGCAACCGCAGTTAGTCTTTGGTGATGTTTTAAGAGGGACTCTACTGTCCATCTCTCGACCATTAAGTTCCTTTAGTAACCTCTTACAACACCCACGAGAAAGGAAGGGGTAGCCCATTCTATGCATATATGGACTACACGGTAAATATATACTTCGTACGCGTGTATTTCAGAAGTAGGAAAATCAATTAAAGAGACTATATCTAAATGTAGTATTAAGATAAAACATATACCAGATTTTAAGTTAGACCTTCAAAAAAACAGCTGTAAGATTTTTATGTGAAGCTGGAACAAATATACAGACAGACAGGCAAATACAAAATATAAAAAATATTGATTTGGTTTCTATTACACTTTTTAAGACCCTCTCATATCAATTATTCTGAAATTTATTCTAAGTATAGATACAGTCAGGTTACAATATATTTTTATGAGACTTCCAAATGAACGAGGTTTTCTATTGAATTTTTTTTTACTCGTGTGTGAGTCAGACTCCAATCCTGAACCAAGTTTATATATATATATATATATATATATATATATATATATATATATATATATATATATATATATATATATATATATATATATATATATATATATATAATATATATATATATATATCTCGAATTCGAATTCGTCCTATATTAATTTCCTGACGAATGAAGCTCTCGTTTTTTATGCGTGACAAAAAACTTCTTGTTGCAAAGCAAAATCTACACGCTATTCCTCGTTCTAAATTAAATTATTTTCAATGTAAGGTTTTTGTTGTTCATCTTTCTCTGTGTATGTGTGTGTTTACAATTAAAGTTACTTTTTTGTGAGAAGCAGACCTACTTGTGTTTAATTATGCTGTCTTTAGTATATATGTGTCTAATAAAATTTATGCAAAGGATCTGTCCGCCTGATCTGATCATT